CAGCCCCCAAATTTTGCCCCATCTCCTACAGGAAAGACCTCACAATTACAGACATCCTAACATTAATTCGTAAAGGAATTTCATAACAAAGGGCTGAATTTCTGCCTGTGAATTTCTGCCACAGAGGCAGGAGGCAGAGGCTGGGTTTTATTTTTGCATGTCAGGGGTTGATTAATATGGAGATAGGTTTCCTGTTTGCTTTGAGCCAGTTGGAATGGGAAGGAGGTATGACGATCATTACTGAGGCAGCTGGTTGTTCTGAGGAAAAGCTGCGTTGATTGTGCCAAAACCTAGCACTGCACTAGAGCGAAGCGAGATGTTGCAGGAGAGCCAAAATCAGGCATAAAGTGTTGTCCTTCACTTCACCGATGTCGCTCTAGATCTAATGTTAGATACCACGAAAATGAGGAAGAAGGTTCTCTTCCCAAATGATGGCAGTTGTAGACCGTCTCTGGCCAGTATTATTTTCCACTTTCTCCTCTTCCTCCTCCTTTCTCACTTCCTTTTCCTCTCGCAAAGAGCTGTCCTCTTCCACAGGCCTCACTATCCTCAAGGTCAGCATCTTTCTGGGAAACTATGTTATGGAGAGCATTGAGAGCACCACATTGGCCAAGTCCCTTGCAGGCGGGTGTACCTAACCATTTCAAACACTAAAAATGCACCTTCCAAAGCCTATAGGCCTTCTCAATGATTGAGTGAGCAGGCGGCATTGGTCGTACAGTGAAGTTTCGCCGTTCTCAGAGGAAGTTGCAATCAATGACTTTTGCAAAAAGGTATGCAATGTCTGTGCAGTGTGTATTTTCACTCAAGGAAGTACGTTTATTCCTTTCTTCAAAACTACAGATAAACAAACGTTAGATTCGCAGTGGGCAAAAAAATTCACAGTAAGCAATGGGTTGTTAAACAAATTTGAGAATGGCAGACATGTGGACTTTACTCTTCCTCTGTCTGGGGCACCCATAATGGAATGATTAGCCATTTCTTCTGGGGATATCCCTTGTCTCCAAGGGTTCATTTGTACAGCATTGATTGGTGGAGGACAAAAGCGTCCTGGCAACTGCCAGGAAAGTGAGTGCACAGATGGAGGAAACTCTTGTTATGGTTGCTAATCAGTTCGACATTGAAGGAGTAAAAACCATTGAGGTTCACTGTATCTCACTGACTGCTCACAGGGGGCCTTGATGGCAATACGGGCACAGTCAATGATGTTCAGTGATGACAACAATGCCCATTCCCTCTTTTCCTGTGAGGCCAGGTTCGTTGTGAAATGAATGTACTGTGCAGCTCTGAAGAACAGGCTTCAGTGAAATGCATTGGCGTGCCACAATTTCTGAGGTGATACCAAGTTGAGCCTTGGAAGGCGGCATGTCGGCTGGGACCCACCCCTGCGTCCATTCACGCTCAAGGGTCACCCTGAAAATTCAGTCCTGAATGGTGGTGCATAGCTCAATGTTTACACCCTCAGCAATGAGACAGAAGATTGTAGTATCTCACCCTACTTCAGAGATTCATGCACAGACTCCAGTCTGGCATGTCTGATGCTGCACTGAGAAGGTGCTGCATTTGGTCGGAGGTACTATCTTTTGGATGAGACTGAATAAATATCTTTGTGCATTGTACCTTGCTGTATTCGTGTGACCTCTGATACCATGATATTTGCATAACAGCTTTAATATTGTAACAATTTTACATATTACATAGAACAAAGATGAAAATAAAGCCCATTTATGCTTCTGAATCCCACAACAGTATTTATAAGTGCAGGGAAGTTTACCCTGCTGTCCTGAATAAAACTTAACTCATGATTCAACAAAACAAGAACAGATAAAAACAGAGATAGCAAGAACTGTAGATGCTGGAGTCAGAGATAACAAAGTGTGGAGCTGGAGGAACACAGCAGACCAAGCAGCATCAGAGGAGCAGGAAAGTTGATGTTTCGGTTTGGGACCCTTCTTCGTGTTCTTCTGATGCTGCCTGGTCTGCTGTGTTCCTCCAGCTCCACACAGATAAAAACAGGAACTGCTGGAAACATTCAGTGGGTCTGGCAGCTTCTGTGAAGAAAGGAGCGGAGTCAAATGGTTCAATTTTCAGATCCTACCAGGGACAGAACTAGAGGCAGAAGAAGCTCGAAAATACTGCACTTACAGAGGGAAGGAGCTGTAGATTTATACAGCATTTTGTGCAGAAAATAGTGCTTCCTAATTTTGCATCACGGTCTAACATTAGTTTTATTTAATTGGTTATAATGATCTCCCATTCTCATACAGTTGCTGTAAAACATAGGTTTTGTTTTATAGAATGTTCACAAGTAATTATCCGCACTTACGAAAATTGCTTGTGACCAAATCAAATAAATCTGTCTTGAAAGGGTGCTTGTGAAATATTTCCCAACAAAATGAACCAGCCTCCTGCAGGCAGAGATTAAAGACATCATCCCACTCTCGTGTAAATTCTACAGACAAATATTTAACTGACAGACAGAGAGCTTTGATTGGCTGGGTCAATATTCTGGAATTTTCCACCTATCAATCATTGTGAGAGTACCATTCTCACAGGACCGGAGCAGTTCAATTAGAAGGCCAAGCACAGCCCTAGGACATCACCACAGGGGTTCATTAGGGCAGTGACCTCAGCCCAACCACATTTTAACTGTTTTATCAACAACATTTCCTCCATCATAAGGTCAGAGGTAGGGACATCTGCTGACAAATGCACAATTTTCAGCACCGCTAGCGACTTCTCAGACAGTGAAGCAGTCCATGTCCCTGTGCAGCAGACCAGACAATATTAATACATTGGGCTGACAAATGTTTAATAAAATTCAGGCTAATAACGTTTGTTAGTATCTCCACAAGAGAGAATTTATCCAACTACTTTTGGCATTGAATGACATTATCACTGATTCCTCCACTTCCAGCATCCCAGGGAGTTAGATTGACCAGACACTGAACTGGACCAGCCTTGAAAATATTGTGGCTACAAACGTAGGTTGAATGCTGTGTACATTGAGATGAGGGACCCATTTCCTGTCACACCGAAGCCCATACTCTATCAATGGGACACAAGTGTGATGGGATACTCTCCACCTTACAGGATGCGTTCAGCTTCAACAATACTGTGAAGGTCAGAACCATCCAGGCCAAAGCGACCCATTTGATGGATACGCTACCCCCCCCCACGTTAAACATTAATTCCCTTCACCACCTAGTCCACAGTGCAGCCACTGTGTACGTATCTGTAAAATGGACTGAGCATTTCACTTGTGGATCTTTGATAGTGCCTCCCAAACCCTTGAGCTTCCCAGACTGTGAGTTGGGGTCCCAAATAGGCTTGCGAGCTGAATGTTTGGTGTCCCAAGGTCAAAGGCAGCAATGGCCACCATGGAGTTCACATCAGGTTGTGATCCCACTCTAACAGGCTGTAACTCTCACAGCAACGCCCAACTTCAGTCCCTCAGAGGGGTCAGCACAATTTTCAAACTTTAATATTGGCGTCACAGTGAGAGAAGGTTTGGGAAGCACCAAATTACAACAGTGAAGACAGCACGCGCAAAGGAAAAATTCCCAATTCCAAGTCATCTAACATCCTGACTTGGACATATATTGTGGTTCCTTTACTGTCACTGGGGTCAAAATCTTGGAATCCCTGTACAACAGCACTGTGGGTGTACCTGCACCACACGGACTGTGATAGCTTAAGGTGAGAGCTGACCATCATATTAACAAGGACAGTTAGGGATGATCAATAAATGCTGGCCATGCCACTGATGGAGATATCTCATATAAAGAATAGATACAATTGTAAGAGAGGGTTTGCAAATATACCCTCCTGCTGGATGTAGTGCTGTGGTACCACCAGTGGCAAGAGTGTAAAATTTCAACAATACAAGTTTAGCTCAGCATTTTTCATTTGCAATGTGGACATAGTTATCTAAACAGAAGATTTTCTATAACTAAAGATATTTGCAACCTTGGCATTCAAACTCTGGCAGGAGCTGACTGACACAGGTTGGAATCATTTTGTTAAATTTAAGGCCGAATGCCTTTGTTTAAAATATAAATGCTCTTGCTGAGTTTACTAGTTTGAATATGCTGTACCACTTAAAAGAGATTAGCCATGTGGATGCTGTTTTACCAGGGAAGATGGTAATCCAGGAAAAATTAACAATGTGGTTTTGGCTGGGTTATGAAAATTGGAGAGTAAAGACATCTCAATCTACTCCTGCTTATCTTCAGAGGTTAGGAATCGGATTGAACACAATTTCAGCTGCAGAACTATGGTCTGGGGTAAATGTGAAGAGAAAACTTATTTTAAAAAAAACCTCAGTTAAAAAAGTAATCTCATCATTAATTTTTTTAAATTTGAGAGTCTCTTTAATTCGGGGCGATTGTAAAATGCTGACATCTCAAACTTTTCCAAATTTCCATGGCTTGGAATGAGAATTGAAAGCTTTTGAATCCAAAATGGTTTTCGGTGAAAGGGTTGAGCGAAGCCAACTGGCAAGGGCAAATCTGATCCCTGTTACATGTTCAAAGAATTGGAGAAAGCTTAAAAATAACAATAAATCTCCAATTGTGTAAGAATGATGCATTGGTGTCAGTTTTAAAAGACTTCAGAAAGCCCAAGGATTATTGCAGCCTTGAACTGTCATGTGACTCAGCGCTGGCTATATACAGTAAGCCATAAGGTGATTAAAGGAGTGAGGCATGAAGCGTGTCCTTTGTCTGCTAATCAGCTGTTCTAGCTCTGTAAGTGCTCGAAGGATTTCCTGAGCCTGCTTAAACATGATTAGCATGAAGCTGCTGTAAAACAGAACATTGTTAAAATTGGGCTGACACCACTGCAAAGTTTAAACTTGAGACGAGTGCTCCAGTTTGTAGAACTTTCCTCTTCATTGATACATCCAAGACGGAGAGAGGATGGGTCCCTGTTAAGTGTACAGGAGTAGGTTTCGTGAATGCTTTTTCAGAATCTAATGTCGCAATTGCCTCTACCCGCAGGCAGGAGCCATGAGCCAAAGTCATCATCCCTCAGCATGATCTCGGCAACACAGAGGACCACAGCAACGGTGAACCCCCTAACTCCTTCCTCACTGAACGGACCAGTTGTTACAAATGGGAGTCATTCATCTCATGGGACGGCGAATGCCCGAGGAGTTCATACAGCCAGCTTTGCTGCAGCCCTTAGAAAACTGGCCAAACAAGCAGAAGACCCAAGAGGTAAAGTTCAGTGATAATTAGCAATCTGTCAAAATCTCTCACCAGCATAAATTCACATAGACGTCCAAGTGTACTTCCATGGGACGATCGAGGTTACCTGGACTGTACTTCTTTGATGTTACTCAACCAGGACAGTTGCGCATTTGCATACCATCGTGCAAATGAATCAAATGGCAGAGATCTGGGCAAGTTGAAAGGTGGACGATGGGAGGTTTTGGTAATGGCAGTCAGATTCTGAGATGACCAAGGCATATTTATGGCTCTCAGTAGCAGAGTAAGTGAAGTGGAGTTGGAGGCACTGTATGGAATATCGGTAAGCATTGGACCAAAGAAAAGTAGCAAGGAGATCAGAAATAGGGTTGCTAGGGGGTTTCAGAGAAATACACTGTGAGCTTCTGGAGAACACTCAGAGAGGGAGCAATAACGTAGAGTGCTATTGCAGAGAAGTAGTTGCTGAGCTAAGAGAAGATCTAAGGCTGTCAGAAAGAAGAGGAAGAAGACAATCTGAGGCAGATAAGAGGTTGACCTCAATTTTGGAAACAAGATACACATCCCTTAAACCTAATTTGGCAGGAGAAGGTAGTAGGAAATTGCAACTTGTGACAGAGAAAAGAAGTTATGAATATTCAAAAAGTGATCAGTGGTTGTGACAGAAAGAATATTTAGTTATGCACATGAAGCATTCCTAGATGTACAGTGATATCACTGACAGAAATGAAGGGCTGAATGGCCTCTGTCTGTACTTTTCTACGGTTCCAAAGCCATTTAGTTCCTGCTACTATAGAAATTGCTTTTGTGGCCATTTCCGACAATGTTACATTTCCCTAAATCTATGGCGATATGAGATAAACTGAGTAGCGTCTGCGGTATCATGGGGAGAACAAGAAGGTAGGATCTTAGTCCACCCTAGCTGATTGAACGTTGTGCAGTTGGCACTAATCTGATCAACACCAGCTCTCCTGCCAACTGAGCCAACCAGCTCCCCAAGGTGTTCAAGTTGCTCTGGCAACTGTATAATCCAGAGCTATGAATAGTGGCGGTCTCCAATTTCATTTCCTTCATGTGTTTTTACTGTGTGGCATTATCATTTGTCTGAGGATCTACAAGTGGTTATGAGATTTTGTCCTCAGTGTAGATGTACCTTTCTGGCCATTAAGCCCTGGAGTAAGATTTGAACCAGGAGTTTCTGATCACTAGGGACACTACATTGCACCACAAAACTCAATAAATATGCATGGATCAATAAAATTCCTTTCATTGATTTCCATTTTTAAATCATCTGATCTTTTGGGTCTGATGGATTAATTAAATGTTATTTTCTCTGGATGTTGGTATTAAAGCCCTGAAATTCTGCGCTGTGTTGTATTGTAAATCTGGTCTTCACATTTGCATACATTTGGGACTGGATTATGTATGTTGTATAATGTTAACAACATGTTTACACAGCATGCTTGATGACACCATGATTGTTAGACACATATCTTGGGGCTTGATTTTCGGATTTAAGTCACTGGAGCATTGAAGAAAGCTCAGGGATTGAGAGGAGATTTGTTTCTAGCAAATTGTTCAGTAACGAGTTAACAAAATCGTTCTGATCAGATCAGACATCAGTGAAATAGGTTTGGGTGTGGAGATACATTTCTGTACAATTTCTTGGCTGCCAACGGTGAGCTATCTGGTATCAGATCATCAAATGTAGAATTCAAAGAGAGCCAAGAAATATTGCTGTAGGAGGATCAGCACTTAGTGGTACTGTTGTCATTGTACAAGCTTCTTTGTAATCTGCATGATGCATTAAATATACACTTGCCAGAACTTTTAAACTCCCACTGAGGCCCATTAAAATGATGTCTGTGAACTGTGTAAATAAATATGGGTTATCATTAGCTGTTTTTATTTTTAGCCCCTTGCACATTGTTTTCTACCAATGCTGTGAAAATAAAGACTGATTTTTACAAATCTTCAAATTTACTCATTTCACATTCCTCCCCATGTCACCACTGCCCACCCACACCCCCTCCCCAGCAATGCACACCAATATTTTCTGTCATTTATTTGAAATGCAGTGGAGTGATTTATTTGCGTGCATGACCCTTTTAAATTCTTTACACTGCTGTACATGACAGATAATTTAAAAGGGGCAACTCTTGTACGACTTGTTTGTGGGAACTTTTGGTTTGTCACATGACAGCTCTGCTGATAGTAAATATTGCCCCTCCCCCATCCAATTGTCTGCATTGTCTTATAATTCCATGCACCTAAAATCCATATTATTATAGTTAAATTAGTGTAAGACTCCCAGATGTCTAGTGTGGCAACTATATGGCACTTCTCTCAATGCATTTCACTGACTGCAACATGGCTTTGATGGTTGTCCCTGGAAATGGATGCTGACAGTTATCACACACTTTCATCAGAACAAATAAAATTGTTTGATTTTCCTCTCTCCCCTTCGACAAAAGTGTGCTCCTCCCCCCGCCACCATTGGAGTTCAGCACCTTTCTATAATACCACTGCCTAGATCAACTATTGGCCATATGGCAATTGTCATAAATATCTGATAGTTCACTGAAAATCGATGTTACAATCCACAAAATAGCTTGAAGACACAATTTAGGAGCGAGCTTTAGCAATTTGAGGTAATAAGAATTGCATCTTGTGTAAACAAAAATCAGAAGTACAGACATGAATGCAAACAGCAGATGGGAAGCAATTAAATGCATTTCGGATTCAGATAATCTGCATACAGAGGATAACCAAAGACTAATTGCGTTTTGGACAGATAGAGCACATTTGTGGAAAACATGATGGAACTTTGCACCTAAGAATGATGATAAAATGGAATAACACCCAACAATTTAAAGCTGATTCCCAATCTGTGGCTCTTTCTTTAGTGGTTGGGATGATCATAGGGTTTTCTTCCCCATATTTATTATTAAGTACCACTTTGGCCATTTAACTGCAGCAGGAGATGTTTTAAATCTTAAATGCACACATTAGAAACCGTGTGCGTATTCAGGACACTACTTATAATAATTGTATGTATGAACTATAGCGTAAGCACACCAGGTGGTGTAATCCTGCTTTAAATAAGAGTCTTTAAGAATTCACCAGGAGCTCAGGCAGCTTATATATTTAACTGCCTTCTTTTTCTCCTTCATTGTATTCTCTCTTTCTGTATCTCTATTTACCACAGACAGGTCATTTTCCAGAACCTGCACTGAAACATTGTTTTATACCGGTGTTAGGAACAAACAGATTTATAAGTAACTTGATATGAAATGCCCCAAAATTACTTTCTCACTAGGCAATCACAACTAACTGTTACGAGCCTTAAATGAATTTGCCAGAATCTGTGACTGTGTAGCTCTTGCACTTCAGCAATTCGCTGTAAAACTTACCAAGTTGACTCCCTTTGTTTTAATGGCGTAATCAATCAGCAAGAGGTCATTTTTCATTCTAGTCCTGTAATCGTAGCTGACACAGAGATGTGTTGTGCCATTGTTGAAAGCATAAAAAAACACAGTGCATTTATTCAAATGTAGCATGCCTCACTGTAAGTCTGCTCATGTGTGAGAGCATATAAATTTCCTTGAAATTGTCACATAAATCATATCTGCAGCTCAGTCTCATGGGCATGGTAGAAGCACTGATAAAAAGTCCAAAGAATGGAGTGTTCATTAAGTTTTTTTTCTCTTATCCATCATTACCCTGCATTTGTAACATGTCCTTCTGAGGAGGCTAAGTGCTCAGCTTGGTCTGATTTCTGCCTAGGTTTCTGCACACTTGGCCACTAGAAAAGATGTACAAGCAGCTATCCTCTAACCCTTACTACGTCTACCCTCCCCATTGTCACATATTGGGGCTTGTAAAGGCAAGTTGTCCGTATAGTAGGTGCAGACCTCACCCCAGCAAGATATGCCATCACCTGTCATATTTACTTCATTCCGGAGGCTGCTAAGGCAACATGTTTGCATTTATAAAGAATACTTAAGTCTTCACATTTCTACACAGCTTTGTGATCCCTGTAGAGACCACTCATTTGTAACAAGATATTTGAATTTCTAGTGACTGACTGAAAGGATCACACAACAAGATTTTAAGTTTTATTACTTTTACTAGAGTAAACGAACTAAAACCAACAATAGCCTCTGAACTGCAGAAAGGGAAATTCTCTGTTTAACTTTTAAAACGACCAACAATCCCATGCCATGTTATACATTACACTGTTCCTTAAGTGGGCACTTTATTCCCCCTGTGCCAGTCCAAAGTTATTCTCAGCTCTCATGGATTTGCTTCCTTTCTTTCTCAGGTAGGTTGCAATGAGGGTTACAATGGAGATTTTCTTTCCTCTGGCCCAAGCCAGGCAAATCTTCCAGTCTTCTTTAAATCCTCTGTGGTTTAAAGAGGCGTATTTTGCCCTGGTTTCATTTAAGAGAGAGATTGAACAAGAGGTAACAAGCATGCTTGTTAAACAGCTTGTGAGGCCTTTGGTTTCTTTTTAAAGGTGGAACAATAGAAGCCGCCTTGATGGGTGTGGCTGGCTCTCGCAGAGCAGGATTTCTAGATTTTTTTTAGCTTTTAGTTTCAGCAGGAGCTACAGGAGTTTTGAAGAAGTAGAAGCTATTTTTTCCACTCTCTTGGTTACAGCTAAAAGCTGGGGTTCTTCTTTGTATTGTGGACCTTGTGTTTGAGAAAATCTGATTTCTGAATTTACCTTTATGCCCAAGGGCTCTGTTTATGGGATGCTTCTACATTGGAACCGTTAATTAGTAGTAGTTACAGTATCTATTATTTTGTTAAGTTTCCCAATAGAGTAAGTTATTTTAAGTTCTTTCTTTTGTTGTATTTTAACTATAGTGTTGAATAAATGGTTTTTGCTTAACGTCGAGTAGTTTGACCAGTTCAGTTGCATCTGGAACGTAGCACGTTACATTTGCCTTTAAAATAAGAAAAGTTTAGGGTCTAGGCTACCTTCTTAAAGTATTTTGAGGGGCTTT